CAAACAAAAGGATCGCAATTTGAGTCAGGGAAGGTGGTTGGAGTTGTTGAAAGACTATGATGTCACCATTTCGTATGATCCCGGGAAGGCCAATGTGGTGGCCGATGCCTTGAGTAGAAAGGCAACGAGTATAGGTAGCCTTGTGTATATCCCAGTTGGTGAGAGACTGCTCGCAGGAGATGTTCAGGATTTCGCCAATCAGATTGTGAGGTTAGATGTTTCAGAGCCTAGTCATGTTTTAGCTTGCACAGTCACTCGGTCTTCCTTGTATGAGCGCATCAGAGAGCGTCAGTATGATGATACTCATTTGCTTGTCCTTAAGGACACGGTGTGGCACAGTGGTGCCAAGCAGGTTACTGTTGGAAATGATGGAGTTTTGAGGATGCAGGGCCGTATTTGTGTGTCCAATGTGGATGGGCTTCGTGAGTTGATCCTCGAGGAGGCCCACAGTTCCCGATATTTCATTCATCCGAGTGCCGCCAAGATGTATCAGGACTTGCGGCAACATTATTGGTGGAGGGGGATAAAGAAGGATATAGTTGCATATGTAGCTCGGTGTCTAAATTGCCAGCAAGTAAAGTACGAGCATCAGAGACCTGGTGGTTTGCTTCAGAAGTTAGAGATTCTTGAGTGGAAGTGGGAGCGTATCACTATGGATTTTGTTGTTGGACTCCCACGGACTCAAAAGAAGTTCGACGCCGTATGTGTCATTGTGGACAATTGACCAAGTCCGCACATTTCATTCCAGTTGCAGTTACCTATTCTTCAGAGCGGTTAGCTGAGATCTACCTCCGCGAGATTGTCCGTCTTCACGGTGTGCCTGTGTCTATCATTTCTGATTGAGGTACGCAGATCACCTCGCACTTCTAGAGGGCTGTACAGCGTGAGTTGGGCACGCAGGTTGAGTTGCACAGCATTTCATCCCTAGACGGACGGACAATCCAAGCACACTATTCAGATATTAGAGGACATGTTTCGCGCTTGTGTTATGGATTTCGGGGGTTCTTGGGACCAGTTCTTGCCACTTGCGGAGTTTGCCTACAACAACAGCTACCAGTCTAGCATTCAGATGGCTCCCTATGAAGCATTATACGGGAGGCGGTGTCGTTCGCCAATTGGATGGTTCGAGTCGGGGAGGCTCGGTTGTTGGGTATAAATTTGGTACAGGATGCCTTGGATAAGGTCAAGATTATTCAGGATCGACTTCGCACCGCTCAGTCTAGGCAGAAGAGTTATGTCGACCGTAGAGTTCGTGATATTGCATTCATGGTCGAAGAGAGGGTGTTGCTCCGGGTTTCACCCATGAAGGGTGTGATGAGATTTGGAAAGAAGGGCAAGTTGAGCCTCAGCCCTAGGTATATCGGACCTTTTGATAAAGAGTGGGTGAGGTGGCCTACAAGCTCACATTGCCACCCAGTTTATCAGCAATCCATCCGGTGTTCCATGTGTCCATGCTCCGGAAGTATCACGGTGATTCGTCCCATGTGTTGAATTTCAGCTAAGTTCAATTGGACAAGGATTTGACTTATGAGGAGGAGTCGGTGGCTATTCTAGTCAGGCAGATCCGCCAGTTGCGGTGTAAGAGTTATCCTTCAGTTCGAGAGCAGTTGAGAGGTCAGTCGATCGAGGAAGCCATTTGGGATTCTGAGTCGGACATGCGGAGCAGATATCCACACCTTTTCACCAATCCAGGTACTTTTCTTTGACCGTTCGCGGACGAACGTTTGTTTTAGAGGTGGAGAATGTGATGATTTGATCGGTCATTTATAGATTTAATCCTCAATTTTATGTTTCGAAACCCCGAATAGCTCCATTCAGCCTTTCTCGATTTGCGTGCGCAGTTTGTGTCTTTTTCCGGAAGAGTTTTATGTGAAAAACTGACGAAAATATAAAATCGTGCCTTAAAACTCATTTGAGTTGACTTCATTCAGCGTTTTGAGCAAACGGACCCGGATCAGTGTTTTGACGGTCGTGGTGGGTTCGTATCGTAATTTGGGACTTGCTCGTATGCCCGGAATCGAATTCGGAAGTCCCTAGCTCGAATTATCGTAATTTGTTGAAAACTAGAAGCTTAAAGGTTTAAAGAATTAATAAGTTTGACCGAATTTTGACTTTGTTGCTACCGGGCCCGGATTTTGGTTCCGGAACCTAGCATAGGTTCATTATAGTATTTATGACTTGTCTGCAAAATTTGGTGCAAACCAGAATTGATTTGACGTAATTCGGACGTCCGGTTGAAAAATTGAAAGTTCTTAAGTTTCATTGAAAATTTCATTCGTTTTGGTGTCTGATTCGCAGTTCTAGGTGTTATTTTGGTGTTTCGATCGCGCAAGCGAGTTCGTATGATGTTTTTCGACTTGTATGCATGTTTGGTTTTGAGCCCCGAGGACTCGGGTGAGTTTCGGATAGGCTTCAGAGTGGTTTTGGACTTAGAATCATAGCTGGTGCAAGTTTCATCTGGGGCTAGACTGTAGACTTCGCAAATGCGAGCCTCGCTTTTGCGAAGGACACTTCACATTTGCGAGCATGGGCTAGAACTGGGGTTCTCGCATTTGCGAGATTTCTGTCGCATTTACGATAGTATCGTGTTCGCAATTGTGAACAAATTGTTCGCATTTCCGATGACAACAGAGATGTGAAACCTTCGCATTTGCGAAGACTTTTTCACATTTGCGGGGTTCGCAATTGCGAACCCCAGGTCGCAATTGCGGGTTCGCAATTGCAACATCTGCGCTTGGTCAAAAAGCTATGAAAGACGGGATTTTAGCTCATTCTTTCAAATTCTTAACCCTAAACACCTTAGAGGCGATTTTCCCAAGAGCTTTTCTTCCTAAATTTATTGGTAAGTGACTCTAATCTACTTTCTTTCAATTACCCATTACCTTCCATAAGATTTCAACTTTAAATCTAGGGTTTCCATGGTAGAAATTAGGGATTTGGGTAGAATTAGGGATTTTTGTAAAATTGAGATTTAGACTTCGAATTGAGGTCGGATTTCGAATTGAAATTGCATAACCGGGCTCGGGGGTAAATGGGTGATCGGATTTTGGACCAAACCTCGGGTTTTGACGAAGTGGGCCCGGGGTTGACTTTTGTTGACTTTTTTAATAATGATCTAAATTGAACCTCTTTCATTCGTGAGTAGTTTCTAAAGCTTATTTTGAATCGTTTGGTCAATAATTTGCTAGATTTTGTTGCTTTGGAGGCTTGTTCGAAAGGCAAGATCGTGATTGAATTTTGAGTTGATTACGGAGTGAGGTAAGTATTGGATCTAACCTTGACTTAAGGGAATTAGGAACCCTTGATGCTATGTGTTATGTGAATTTCATGAATAGCGGCGTATATGCGAGGTTACGAGTATACGCCATCAATTACTTGTTTCCATGTCTACCCGTACTTCATTAATTATAGTATTTCATGTCTTGGTTGTTATATGCCTTAATTGATTCACATGCCTTAACTTGTTGTCATTTATTATCCTCGCATCATAAAATGTTAATTTCTATCATGCTTCTATGCTTAATTGATATTTGCCTTAATTGTATTACTTGTACCTCTTTACCTGTTATATATTTGACTGTCTTGTTTCTCAGTATTAAGTGTAGCTTTTCATGATTTGGTACGAGATTCCTTCTTGATGTGTAGTTTTTATATTCATTAATCATAGAGATTCTTGTGATTCGAGTTGTTAAATCGATTGCACTTATTGATGTAGTTATATTGATATGGTGGGATCGGGTTGCGCGCCGCAACAGGTGAAATAAGGGTGGATTTATATGGTGAAATAAGGGTGACTTTATATTGATACGGTGGGATTGGGTTGCGCGCAGTAACATGTGAAATAAGGGTGGATTGATATGGTGAAATAAGGGTGAATTATAATATTGACTCCGATTATATAGTGGGATCGGGTTGCGTGCCGCAACATATATTTACTTATTATTATTGATATTTATATGGTGGAATAAGGGAGGATAGTGTTGTACGGTGGGATTGGGTTGCAGGTGAAATAAGGGTGGATTTATATGGTGAAACAAGGGTGACTTTATATTGATACGGTGGGATTGGGTTGCGCGCCGCAACAGGTGAAATAAGGGTGGATTGATATGGTGAAATAAGGGTGAATTATGATATTGACTCCGATTATATGGTGGGATCGGGTTGCGTGCCGCAACATATATGTATTTATTATTATTGATATTTATATGGTGGAATAAGGGAGGATAGTGTTGTATGGTGGGATCGGGTTGCGCGCCGCAGCATTTTATGTATTTCTATTCCTTATTGTGTTGTGTTGGCTTCAGTACTTTCATACAAGACTCTAGGGATTGGTATTTCTGGCATTTACTGGTTTTTCTTCGAAGATTGAGTTATTTTCATGAGTTAACTGCCTTATTTCGTTTCCGTATTTTCCTTTCCTATCATTATTTTATAATGCGTATAGGTTACATTGTAAGTGACCCGCCTTAGCCTCGTCACTACTTCGTCGAGGTTAGGTTCGGCATTTACAGAGTACATGTGGGTTGTACTTATACTACACTCTGCACATCTTGTGCAGATTTTGGAGTCGGTCCCAGCGGCGGTCAATAGATTGCTCGGGTTGAATATCAGTGTATAGACTTGAGGTACGGCTACTCGACGTTCGCAGCCCTGAAGTCCCCTCCTACTTTATCTCAGCTGTGTTTTTCTTTTAGACAGCTTTACTTTCATTCCGACCTTTATCTGTAGTATTTTAGTAGCTCGTGCACTTGTGACACCAGATTCGAGGCTGTATTAGATACTTTAGTTGTTATGGTTTTCCGCACATTACTTCAGATTTATATCAATTATTTCGGTTTCTTTATTATTATTTAATCTGAACTGTTAAAAACATGGATAAACTATTCTAACGTTGGCTTGCCTAGCAAGTGAAATGTTAGGCGCCATCACGGTCCCGAGGGCAGAATTTCTGGGTCGTGACAAAAAAGTACTTTAATTTCAACATTTAATAAAATGCTTGCCTGAAATTGGGGTTTGAACATATAACTTTAGAAGACAAGTATCCTTCAGGAAGAGCAACCCCCCTTTGTTCGAGATAAGATTCAAGAATGGGAACTAATCGTTCTGCCTCTGCTGCCTGAAATATAGAAACTTAAATCACGCAATGGAATTAAGAAAAGCAACATTCCACATGCAGTCCTTTCCAAAGTTAAGGAACCATATGATCAAAACTTAATTACTCGATGAGAAGATATTGTCGACCAGAGCATGCACCGCAACAGAAATGATGCAAGAATGAAAAGAAGAAAGCAAAAGAGGGTATCTGAATTAAATTGTATCCCCACCAAATATCCTAGAAGCGGCAATTCAATGCAGAACATAATAAAATCTCACTATAAAACTTTGCGAGGACAAGGGGTCATAACTACCATTGCATAAAGATGAGCTTACTCTCCATACAATCAAACAGCCAACAGCAAATGCCAACTGCTAATCTCCTGGTTGCATCTCCTCTCAGAGAGAGCCTTTAGGGATATGCTTCATCATATGAACAACAGTGCCATAAAGTTGCGCCTCCAAGATACTTTCTTTGCCAGACAGTTCAAGCCCATTCATTGAATAAGGGATGACATTGGTACTCCTACTTGGTTCTTCAGAGAAACTAATATGGAAAACTCATATAGTGAGTTAAATATTATTAATCGGGCTAAGCTAGCAGGCCCTACGGGTTGTTTTCTCTCTGTAAGCATTACCATCCGCAGCATAATGCTGGACTCTATGAAGCAAACTGCATTTCTTTTGCTACTTGATTTAATTATAGGAAGTAATTTCATAAAAAGTGTTGGGGGATTATTCAGATTTCACAAATTGGCTTTCAGAAATTGTTCATGCCAACTCCAGCATTAATTGGGGTAGAAATAATCAATACTATCAACATCCAATCGCAGAAACAACAAAATAACTCTGCAGTTTGGTCCAAGAAGATATTTTGTAACAGAACGGTTTCACGAGAGGGGATATAGCTGGCAGGGTGTTTTTAAGGGACAACTAACTTCAGTGAAAGAATGTCTGTAGTAAACATAAGCAAGGAAACTTATCTCTTCAGAGAGTGTTTGATATTCAATTTGAAATTCTACATGTAGAAAATCATGGGATTTATCTCACCAGTCACCACTGCTTTCCGTTAAAGTCCTTTTATGAAACCGAATATAAACAGCAAAAGAGATATAATTTCTTCTTGGCACAATCATGACGAACAAATTCTAGACAGCTTATTTGCATAGTCATGAAGACTAAAAGGAGACAATAATAGCATGTAGAACTACAGAGAATTACTCGTGTACAGGCATAAAGCAATTTTACGTTTAGAAATTCGCACAATATACAAACTCTACGCGATACTTGGCCTCATGAGTAGCAGTGAAAGTGTAAAAGCATAAATTTCACTAAACTTGTGCCACTAAGGCAAGGATTCGATGGACCTACCAAATCTTTCAAACATCAACTAGATTGAATCCCTAACATCAAACAAATAATAAAACAAAGATTTTCAGCTTACAGGATCTGAGATATGCTGGGTCTTGTATTTATGCCCTCCAGTGCAAACCCATCTCCCATCCTTATCAGTGGCCACAAATCCCGAGACATTCTTTACACAGATTACTACTGCTTCCCTGCAGAACGAAAACCTAATATTATCCCCTGGTTTTCTTTCAGGCTAATGAAGAGAAATAGAACTCTTTAATAACAGAGAGTGTTATTCTTGAGGTACCTTCTTGTATAAAATGAGCTTGAACAGACACAACACAAGTAAAAGAATATGGAAAACCAGAAAAGAGAAATCAACTTTAGTGTGTAAAAATCCTACTCAAACACAAAGCATTAAGATTATAGCAATAACCAAGGAACTATTTAAATATATACTAAACATTCGGGTTTGATATATTTAGATATACATACCGCTGTGTGACGAGAACTATATCAATACTTTGCCGAGAACCAGAATCAGCATCAGGAATTTGAAGCCCAACATAAACCTTACCACCATAGATCTTCTCAAGTCTAGTTTCACACAAAAAGGAAATGAGAATTATCATTAAATCACCAATCAGTGGAAAAGACCACAAAAAAGAAACCAAATAACCTATCTGTTCCAGACACTATTTTTTTAATTAATCGTTCCAAAAAGAAACTAACTTTTTATATTTGAAAACTATTTAGCTTTAAATTTTTCATTTGGAGTAAGCATGATAGTACTGTAACAATCCCAAGAGGGTGACCACCTATAGGTTATAGCAGGTAAAGGGTGGATTAACTCAGAAAAATGTGCTGAGTCTGACCCGAACACCTATCATTATCTTAAAGCTAGTGTGATATACCTTTGTGCAACGGAAAAGAGGGCATTGAAATCAGAGGCTTCGGTGTCGAGAAGGTCGTCGTCGTAAAAGAAGCGCTTAACCACTCTGTAAACGACTAGACCACAAATCAGCTGCACCCACATCCGGATTTCCTCACCGTCAGTCGCTGTTTCCGATTATGATTAATTGACTATGATAATTCGAGTATTAATTTTGGTGCACTACAAGTATTGATATGGAGCTGGAATATCTGGGTGACAATAGAGAGAGTTTGGGAAATGGGAGAATATACTTCCTATGAAAGTTTCGGAAGCTGAACGTGTATCATTGATTTTACAAATAGCCTGTTCGGTTCAATATTTACTTTTTTTTATGGGTATATGTATAGATTATACATTAATTATACATATATAATATATAAATTATATTCGGTTATTTAGGTTAATTATTTTTTATGATTTTGGAATTCACAAACAACTTGTAACCCCATTGTATCGTATTGTATTATATTATATTATCATACCAAAATAATATTTATTTTAATTATTTATTTAAAATTAATAATATTGTATTGTTAAATCCATAGCCTCATTTTACAAAATAACTGATTTGGTGTGATTGTTTTTTTATTTTTCTTTCCAATTATATCTTACTTATTACTCCATAATTATATTTTATCCTTTACCTTTTTTTAATTCCAAATCTCCAACCTATTGACCTACTTTATCTTTTTCAATCTTTTCTAGAATTGGTTCGTGTTTTTTTCATCTAAATCTCCAAAGTTCCGTTCGTTTCTTACTCCTTTTCCATCGTTCTATGATTATTATTTTTTGCTAATGATAGTTAATCTTTTCTTCAGTTTCTGCTCTTGTTTCTAAGCTACATAATTGGTGATAAATTAGTAGAAAGAGGTTTTCTTAAATTATTTTTATATGTTATTCTTGATATATTTAATATTTAAAATAATTGATGCTATTTTAGTAAACTTATCAGTTATATTATATTACGATATAGTCAAACCAAACAATAAAAATATTATTCAATAACAACAAATATTACAATCTATCTAAATATTGTATTTACAAAACGATATTGTTTACCCTTAAAATCGGATAACAATTGAATTTGTAAGTGGTTTTAAGGATATGTGATTTAACTTGACACAAAACGATAAATCAGATTGTAATTGAAATAGGCAATGAAAAAGTAAATGCAAACCACACAAGTTGAACAGTCTTGGCCTTGGAGGTTAGCCACCCTCGAGCCAAAAGTGTTTTGATTGATATCAGAACAAAATAACAAGAGAATGATAAGAACTTAAGGAGAATAATAATATATTGCTTTGAGATGCGTGTTACAATATGCCCAATGAATAATCAAACCCCTCTTTATATAGTAGAGGAATCCTACTTTAGGTACAATTCTATAAAAGGTAAAAGATCTCTTGATTCACTGATTGCCGGTTCCGTATTGATTCGTGTCGAGATTCCCGCCATAATATCCGACCAGTCATGGATATTTAGGATTATGTTAGTTACCTCAACAATGTTTCTCCGAGCTCATTCGAGGCTAATGTCGACACCAGACTTAATGTTCTTCGAAGGTAGTTTTTTCGACTTCGGGTTCTAGCTCGATGGGACTCGAGATCGATCTTCAGTCCTTGGTTGCCATGTTCCAATCCCAATTTACCAAGTTGTAGTCGAGCTCAACTTCGACCGTATACAGATAGTTCCCTCATTTTTCGGAGAGTAGACGATGAGAAACAATATGAACTTCCGATCCTTACTTCGATATTTTGTGACAGAAACGACAAAACAGTCGAAATGTCTCGTCAGTCAAGTCTTAATGGCATTAAATGCATGTCAGCTGTCGGTCGGCCACTCCCAGATGTGAACAGTCACTGAGAAACTATAAATACCCTCTTATTAGTTAATTCAAACTTTACTTTCAAACCTTCTACCCTCGTACCTTAGAAATTTCAACACTTCCAAGCATTAATTTTCTGATTACTCTGAAATCCTTTTATAAGAACTTCTTTTCTTTACCCCAAACCATGAAGCATACTCTTCTAACTTCATCTTTTTCCTTCATTTTCCAAAGAAATGGCAAAGACTTCAAAATCTGTTCCTCAAAAAGAGACTCCTTCCACCTCATGGCCGGCTACCGAAGAGACCGATTCACACATAGCTATCAAGGAACCAGCACCAGAACCTCCTCTAAAAATGTTCATCCCGGGGGGATTCTCAGTCAATGCTGATTTTAAAATCGAAAAGCCATCCTCCGTACCAGGCCGGCGTGAGAAGGTCTTGAGGTACATCTGTTCGATCACCGAGGACATTCTCTCTGAAGTCAAGAGGGATTGTAACTGGGCTGACAAGCATGTGGTAGTTTCCGAACCTGACGAGGCCATCACCACCCACGTCGAGTGAGTTTTAAGTGTTTACACTTATCCCTTCACATTGGGTCCCTTGGACCCGGTCATCATCGACTTCTGCAAGAGATACGAGGTAACCCTCGGCCAGATTCACCCTTCTTTCTGGAGGATCATAATCCTCCTCTGTTTCTTCGTGAGCAAGATTGAGGGGTGCCCTTTCACGATCGACCACCTTATGCATTTGTACAGTCCCCGACTCTACTGGGGATGACTGATCAAGCTCGCCCGTTGGGCTAGTAAAGTTGCATTCTCGAGTATCGATGAAGATAGGGATCGAGGATGGCTAGGTCATTTCGTCCGAGTGAGGACCTCAGACTTGATCCCGACAGAGTACATGTCGTTCCCTGAGAAATGGAATATGAAACGTAAGTATCTAATTTTGCTTTCAAGGTTTTATTTATCGCCCTTTTTCTTTCTTTCTTAGCGGTGTTATGTGACGGTTCAGCTGTTGCCCGGATCCCGAACGCAGTTCCTTGACTCAAGGAGTGGGTCGAGGGCATAGTATCGCAAAGGCCTTATTCCAAGCGCTCGTGGCGCGAGCTTTCAAGAGGTCGATGGGAGGCCCGTTCGCACGGTGAGATCTCTTTCACGAGTACTTTTTGGTTTCCGTTTTGCACGACTAAGTCCTCACTTGTTTTATTTCTTATTGTAGGTTTACCCAAGGATGTCCAAATGAGACCTCCATCCGGTACTAATGATCTCCCCACTGAATCCCCTGCTCCAAAATAGGGCGAAGAGAAGAAGAGAAAAAGGGCCCCGAGTTCTCCGGGCTCGGAGAAAAAGAAGCCGAAGAGAAGGCTGGTGCGTAAGTCTAAGTAAAGCATCAGTGCTCGAACACCACCTACGGGTTTTCTCTATCAGTTGAGGGATGAATCTGAAGAAGAACAAGAGGAAGAAACCTTCAATTTGGTGACCTGAGTGTCGACACGACTCGAAGGGTAAGGGGCCTCCGAACTAGAGGGAGACGATGCCGATCTTCATCAAGCTAGGGAGGTCTAGGAGGAGGCCGAGACCGAAGCTTCCCGGGACATGGGCAGTGCACCGAAGGAATCTCTCGGTGCGATAGAGATCACCGAGTCACCTTCGTTCACTGAGTCCAGGTACAATGAGGCTCAGACGGTAAAAGAACGTCCCAATGAGGGAGTCCTCGAAGCGGACGATCCCTTTCGCGGCTTCTTTGATGGAGTGGACTCTATGGACACGGAGGGTGTCACCGGGTTGGGTGATTTAGAGATACCGAGGAAGAACCCATCTTAGGGAGCAAGCGGTCCTTTCTCAAGTCCCAAACTAGTCCCTTGACAATATCACAATAGCTACATGATGATAGGCTATAATTACGTATTTTAGTCGCTTATTACACTCTAATTTACTGCACTTTAATTGAGTTTGATCTTTAATCGCTAGTGTTTTTGCACTAATTGTGTATTTTATGCCTTGTAGGAGTGATTTCGAACTATGTAGATGTTATAGAATTAATTCAAGTGATTTGGAGCTTTGAAGTCTGAGTAAAATCCCAAGAAATTAATCCGGGATCGTGTTCGGGGATCAAAGGATGATAGGGCAACGAAATGAAGAATCGAGCAGACATATTACATATTGTCTAGTAAAATACACATAACGTTTCGCTCAGAACTCCGTTTGTACTCCAAAATATATATTTGGAAAGCTAATTTAAAGGGCTACAAGCTTTATGTTTTACGTTTTTTCAAATTCCCAACAAAATAGGGTGAAAGGTGTGCGGAAAGTGCGCGGTCGCGCACTGACCGCGCATATGAGGCAGAAAGTATGAAAAGTGCGCGGCTAAGTGCACGGGCACACTTCCAGGTGCGCGGACGCGCACGTCCTGTTCGGGAAAAGTGTCCTTTATTGCGTAGGAGAAGGTATAATTGTTTGGGCCCGACCCTACTTGGTATATATACATGAAAAAACAGTATTTTGAGGACTTTTGACATACTTTAGACCTGGGATTCGACCTAAGGAGGCAAGAACACACTAGGAGCAAGGAGGAAAATTCTTCTACGAGTTTTTCACTTCCTTCTTCCTATTTCTATTATTGGTTATGAATTCTAGTATTGTAGTTATGCATACTATTATGGATAGCTAATTTGTTATCTAGGGTTTTGATGGAAATTTTGTAGGATAAATTCTTGTTATGTTTTTATATAATTGAGACGTTTGATTTCTCTACTTGTTCAACTACGTGTTTATTGTGGTTGGTTGAAGAGCTCTCAATCGACTGTGCCTATTTATTGTGTATTACTCGAAAGAGAGTTGCACATTTAGGTAGTTGTTGAACAATATCACTCCTAATGTATATGAGGGATCTATACGGAGGGTTTAAAGGAGGGATTAGGAATAACGAAACCTTGGTGCGATCCGAGTGAGCCGTAACTTAGTGCCAGCTAGCGTAGTTTGGAAGAATATATCTAGTAAATTGTGGTAGTTACTCGGGAGAGAATTACGACACTCAGAGTGCTCATGATCGGTAGAGAATACTTTGGCGAAATTATAGAAGACGCAGCGGGAAGGATTCCGACAATTGGGGAAATCATAACTCTAGACCTCCTTAATCTTTTCTCCAACCCGTAGTATCTTTAGTTGTTAATCTACTACTTTAATTATTTAGTTAATTAGATATAAGAATCTTTATATTTATATCTTANGTGGACTCTATGGACACGGAGGGTGTCACCGGGTTGGGTGATTTAGAGATACCGAGGAAGAACCCATCTTAGGGAGCAAGCGGTCCTTTCTCAAGTCCCAAACTAGTCCCTTGACAATATCACAATAGCTACATGATGATAGGCTATAATTACGTATTTTAGTCGCTTATTACACTCTAATTTACTGCACTTTAATTGAGTTTGATCTTTAATCGCTAGTGTTTTTGCACTAATTGTGT